GCGCGATGGTCGCGCGTCGGGCGCACTTCTGGTCTGGGGCAGAAAGCGGAAGTCCCTATGTGAGACGTGTATTCTAGGGTTGTATTAAAAAAAAAAAACCTGACAAAAACTTGCCTTCTCGTCAAAACGCCGCGACTGGGGCAGCACCAAAAGAGTCGAGAAAGGTTTGAAGATCAGTTTTCATGTGCTCGGTTCGTCCGAGAACGTGGATATGTGCCGTGAAAATGGAAAACCGGTCGCCGTCGGACCACGATTGCTTGGGCGGGAAGCAGTTTGGGTTAAATTCACGGATACTTGTTGTCATCAGATTTATTTGTTTTGTTCCGTCATGAAAGCGGGAATACCGCCAAGTTGTTGGGACCGCCTGCATGCGGACGTTCAGTGCGTCTTCAAGATCGAACGGCCGCCTGACCGTTCGAACTGTCGTCTGCTCTTTCAAACGCTTCTGCTCGTCGTCTGCTCTTTTAGACGACACCGGCCCGTGGACCAAATGTTGGCCCGGTACTTGCGATAAGAAGTGAGTGCAGGCCTCAAAATACTTAAGTTTGAAAATTGGTAAGCAGGCTCGATGTAAACAGTGGATACAAGGAGATGGTGATCGTTGTTACCAGTGACCATCAACGACTTGTTATGCCTCATTCACTTGGTCCGATTCTGCTTGCGATTTTCAGTATCGATGTTGAACATCTCAGCTACGGTTCACGCTGTTGTAACCCGAGCGACGTCATGACTGAAAATTGCGACCGAAATTCCATCATGAGAATCAGTTTTAGCGTACCCTCTGTGGCGTCCACGCGGAATGAATCGCCGCATGTCACATTATTCACGCGAAGTTTTGTGGTGTAGCGAGCCTCAGTAATTTCGCTGAGGCTGCTCAAGTAGTCAGGCATTGCCCAGGAAGACGTAGAATCAACAATTCCAACCCAGAAACCTGCGTTGGACTCACACCACCGCCGACAACAACGCAATTCAATGGTTTGTTTATCGGCGACGCGGCGAGCTTCTTGCCCACACCCCATCGCGCATGCGCGGCGCCGGTGGCGTCGGCTAGGAGCGCTCCAGTTTGTTTGTAAACATGAGTTGGTGTATAAAATATAGTGGAAAAATAATGTGAAATGAGGTGCCACTGGGCACCACGTTTTACATGCTCACGTCACGTCATGTGAGTGTAACGTTAGGAAAATCATTTTTAAAGGGGCGATGCAACGATTTTTGTATTTTGCGCAAATACCGCTTAGGACGGATCCCTGACGTTAATGACCTGTAAATTACCCGTTCGTTTTTCACCACACGCAATCGAAGTGGTAGAAAAAGATAAAGAAAAACGAGCAAAGTTCACCCCTCAACTCGCAGCCAGAACAAGCGGCCACGTGATCTGGAGCCGATTATATGCCGCTAGTGTTGATCATAGCCACGCGCTGGGGTTGGCAAGGCACAGGACACGCGCTGCGTTCCAGACATTGTTATGTTTCGGCCGTTTTCGTCATTGCAGCGCTTGAACACCGGACATACCCGAATGCTTCTCGAGCTATCGATTATCACGAGCCCAAATCGAGTGTCTACACCATGCTCGGGTCCAATCTATGAGCCGTATTCACATATCGTCACTGGGCGGTACTGCTACCGCCCAGCTACGTTACAAAATTTTGCGAAGGAGAGATTGAATGAAAACGCTCGGATTTGTCCTCGAAATTACAGCGCAACAAAGGAGTTTCTTGGCCAGTGGTGTTGCGTGTGAGTATCCTTGAGAAACACTAGTGCCAGTAAGCTCGTGTAAAGTGAAAAACATTCCAATTGAATATCGTTGCACCGCCCCTTTAAGTCTAGATACTTTAGACCTTGTCATTCGCAGTTTTCTCCGTTGGTAGCAGCCGCTTGCATTACTGGTGTTCTCGCGGAAAGTGGCGCACTAGCTCCCAATCAATTGCACAGCGCGTGCCATCCTGACTGAAAGCAATGTCAAGGGGTGAAACTAGAAGACCCTGTCCTCTAATAAAACGCTTCGTAGAGATTCCCGCTTCAAGAACTTGCGTCCCATCAAGTTTCCGAGTCTATTATATTCGCGAACACCGCCCCGTCGAACTTTAGCAAATGATCGACTCTTTGTCCAACAGATGTTTAGTCGAACTGTGGTAAAGTTTGAAGGTAGGCCAGTCGGTGCTGACACGTGTGACGTCACTGCTCCTCGCGCATACGCAGCACGGCTCGCCAGAAGCCACGCGAAACTGCTCAACCTCGGCCAGTGTAGACTACGCTACAAAATAAACTCCTAAAAACACGCTCCGATTCTATTCAAACATGAACTCCGAAAACACAATACGCTACCTATAATACGAGTCTATGCGCAGCCGAACCCCGGCGTAAAACAACGAGCGCGAGGTGCGCGTGAGTCGCGCACCTCGCCTCGGTTCAAAGCTGAGAAAAGTGGAGTCGAGCGCCATCATTAGTTATCTCGACTGCATTTCGCTCAAAGTAGGTTGAGCGACACGAACACGCTCGAAAGTAAACATATTGCTTTGAGGTGAATGATCCAATGAGTGGTTTAATTAATGATGAGGTGTACTCTGACCAACGGGTTCGGATAAAACTCAGATTTCATTGCTTCGGCAAGCTGCAAACCTCTTAAGGAGGCGACCTCTTTAAGAGGTTTTTCAGGCGAGGCACTTACTTTTTTTATTTATTTGTTTAACTGACATACCCTCAGGGCCATCAGCATTACAGAGATGAGCGGGAGTTAGAAGGGAACAGAACAGTGCTGTATACTTTGGAGCTCAGTCTGAGCTGTATAGATTATTTACGGCAATTTTTAAACATATAGTAAGTGGCAATTGTGGCAACAGATGTGGGAAGGTAGTTCCAGTCCACTGAAATTTTTGGGAATGGATGACTCTTGTTTTGGAATGTCTACTTTATATATATATATGATGAAATCCGTGACAAAATATTAGACGGGTGATTCAGCGGTCGGCTGTGAAGTACTGCGTTATTATGGTATCTCTTATGAAAGTGACATCAACGCGCTATTTTACGACGTAAAGTGAGGTAGGCAACGACAGGCTGGTTGCCATGGATCATAATTATTAAGATAAAATACACAAAACAATTTTATACTGATCGAACGACGGTTTAGCGAGCGAAACCTGGCCCATGGCGTTTCATCGCATGCCACTTTAGCGAATGGCGGCGTTCATTTGACCGAATAGATAAAATGAAGGCCGCCGCTGTCCTGTTTTCGAGCTTGCCGAACCCTTGGCGATGGACGCTCGAACTCGAGTTCATATTATTTTCCCCAAACTATAGCGAAGCACTCCTTGCTATCGTTCTGAACAGACCGCCTGGCGCGGTCTGTTTGGATGCCCAGTTTGCCGCCCCTACAAATGCCTAAACGTCGACTCGCGCATGTGATCTCTATTCGCTAAACTCTAATGCGCTAAAACGTCTTCATTCATATAATATGGACTCGTATTAATGTTTGTAAGATGTTTCACAAAAATCGTGCACGCAGGTTCGTGTCTGTCTCTCCTTTTTGCCCCCTCGGCGAGCGGTCGTTGGCAAAAATATAAGCGCCTTCTCTTTTTTTCGTAGAAAAAACCGTGCACAACAAAAAGGACAGGCCAGAAGGTTTTGAGGTGGGGTCCCCTCCACAATCACAACGCCGACAACCAGGCGAAGTCTAGGGAGCCTTCATGTGCGCTTTGCTAGAGTGATGCCACCCTTTGTAATACCGCTCGCCCACAAACCAGCAGTCATTTTGGTTCTGGGCATCCGTGGGGCTAATAACTCTCCCGGAAACAAGCACCTTATCTCACAAGTTCGGAGCAGGGAAGTCAAGAAGCCGCTCGCTCTCCACAGCATGCGCGCTTGATGAAGAAAGCGCGAAACAAAACGAAAATAAAAGAAACGGGACAACAAAACTAAAACCAGAGGGAACAAGCTAAACAAAGAAAATGACAAGTGCAGGGTGCGTCGCCAGGCCCAGCCCAATACAGCCCCCCCCCCCCCCCCCCCCCCACACACACACACACACACACTGACACACACATCTGGAGCCGTCAGCGCCGCTGCGAAAGAACTTCGAGGATGGCTGAGAGCCGGAGGCAGTGGCGGTGGCCGTGGCTGCAGGGGCCGACGCCGCTTTCCGTGACCTCGGTGACTCGGTGAATGGCTGTGACTCGGTGAATGACTGTGACTCGGTAAAGGGCCGTGAAGTCGAACCGGTCGAACGACTTCATGAACGGGATCAGTTCACAGACGTGAGGGGAACGACTTGCTGAACTCGATGAGCTCGTGATGGGAAGGTGAGCGACTTCGTGAATTCAGAGTTGGCGGTGATGGGATGGGGAATGCTTTATGAACTCTGTCGGATTCGTGATGTGACGGTGAGCGACTTTGTGAATTCAGAGCTGGCGGTGATGGGATGGGGAATGCTTCATGAACTCTATAGGATTCGTGATGTGACGGTGAAGTACTTCGTGAACTTGACGGATTCGTGAAGTGACGGTGAATGACTTCGTGAGTTCAGAGATTGAGGTGACGTGATGGGGATGAGTTTGTTGTCCGGTTGAACTCCGTGATGTGAATGGCCGTGACTTTTGGACGTTGGTGTACTTTTTGATGTGAAGGGCCGTGAGTATTAGATATTGGTGTACTCTGTGATGTGAAGGGCTGTGACGTTTGGACGTCGGTGTACTTTGTGATGTGAAAGGCCGTGACTTTTAGACGTCGGTGTACTCAGTGATGTGAAAGGCTGTGACTTTTGGACGTCGATGTACTTTGTGATGTGAAGGGCTGTGACTTTTGGATGTTGCTGTAATTAGTGATGTGATGGTGAGTGAGTGGGTTCGGAAATGCCGACCTATGCTCACAGGCCGTCACTGTTTTGATGCCTTAATGCCTCTGGTTTTAACGTCAACTATGCTGCCTCGTGTTGTACGAGAATTATGTGTTTTCATCGTGGTCACGACCTCCGCAACTTCGCACGAAAGACAGCGCGCACTTACCGCTCCAGCTAGTGGCTTCCACGAAAGCGTTGGTCTTCTCAACGACCAGGTCCATACTGAAATCCTTCTTGCTGCCGCTCATGTCGTATCCTTTTCCGGATCCGTCGAAAGTGATACGAAGGCCGTCCAGAGACATGTAGCAGCCCGTGGTGACGTTGGCCCCCTGCCAGCCAGGAACGCCGCAGTCCCCGCGGCGCCTCAGAGTGCTCAAGAGGCCGTACAGGGTTCCGGACCTGAATTCCATCTTGAGGTCGCGGTTCGTGAAACCCGTGGAGTCGACCTTGACATTGAATGCCGGGACGTCCACGGGGTCCAGGTTGAGGAAACGGACGTTGTTGGGAAGGTGATCTCGGAGGACCGCGTCCATGTACATGTTGGCATCCTGCATGGAACCGGCGAAAGCACCTGAAATGAAGCATAGGCAATTTTAAGGGACGTAAAAGAGTCCCACAATTTAAAGGGACAATCAGCTACCAATAAGACATTTTCAAGTACCAGAATAAGACCATGTAGGTATAACAAAAGTAATTTCCCTGAAAAATGCATTTTCTCGTAATATTTTCGTCGGGAGGCCCAGTGACTTTGAAGCATTTTCCCCTTTCGTGGGGGGGTGGGGGGGGGGGGGCGACGTTCTTGTAATGGTTCTAAACCTTTCCTGATTCGGGACATGTCTGGTAGAGTAAATATTGCGATAATAATTTTTTCAGGTGAAGTACCTTATATTACCTAGGCACATGAAAATGGTTTTTGGTGGAAGGTCACATTGTCTAGGAGCTATTTCAAACAATGATTTTATTTCGGGGTCTGCGTCTCACAATATAAGCACATTTCGGAATCGCTCTAAACTAAATATGTGTTTCGCGATATCAACAAATATCTATTTCTTTATTCTTTTTTTAGGCCCGGGAAGGGGGGGGGGGGGGGTATTTGGGACATACGTGTTCTCTTTGGGCTCATAAAAAATGCCCTTAGGTAGTTCAGTTCTGCGTCCCTTTGATATCAAAAGCATAAGACGTATTGACAACATACAACTTGAACGACGAAACACATAAAAAAAAAGTTCAGAAGAAACACAGCGCGTTCTCCAGTTCCGATGTGAACACCAAAACTGGTGTTCACACCGGTGTGCCAGAGGGTTCTGTTCTTGGTTCTCTCATTTTCCTTATCTCCATAAACAATCTACTTTGTTGCGTTTCTTCTAATATCGCTTTGTTTGCCGATGACGGCGTGTTTTTTCGGGGAGTAACTTGTGATGATGATATAACTAACCTTCAGTCGGACCTTAATGCCGTCTCTGAATGGTGCAAAGCATGGTATATGGACCTAAAGGTTAATAAATTCAAATATGTGCGCTTATCTAGAAAAGCAAATAGACTTCCCAACTACTTTCTAAATCACCGTCCCTTTGATGCCGTCCCTTCTTACAAGTACCTTGGCATTCACATTACAGCCTATCTTACCTGGACCGCTCACATCTCGTGTATTATTAACAACGCTAACAGAATGCTTTGATACGTCCGACGTAACTTCTCAAAAGCCCCTTCGTCCTTAAAACTTGTGTTATATAAAACACTAATCCATTCAAAACTTGAATATTCTTCATCTGTGTGGAATCCTTACCAAGAAAATTTAATAGGTTCACTTGAAATGGTTCAAAGTAATTCAGTTCGTTTTATCCCACCTAACTATAACAGAACTGCCAGCATATGCTCAATGAAATATATTCACAACCTACCAACTCTAACATCTCGCCGTAACTTATTTCAACTATGCCTATTTCACTTGCTTTTCCATCACCCATATCTGCACCTTGATTTTATTTTACCTCCCCGTACATCTCATCCAGGTTGGATCATGCTTTTAAGGTTGGAATTCGACTTTGCAAAACTAACTTTTTTTTTTAATCCTTTTTTACACGCACACCAGATGAGTGGAATCGCCTTCCCGCACCTACGGCAGCCATCGAAGACCACAATCTTTTCAAGAAAGCCTTCGTTATCATTGTATGATTAGGAGTCTCTTATTTGTCTGCGGCCAGTGGTTCTCAGCCAGTGATGTTTCGCGGCCCCTTGTGGATCGGCGAATATAGTGGAGGACCCCGTTCGTGGTGAGGGGAAGGGAAAGGTATACGCCTCGCAAGTGGGATCATTTTCGTCTTCTGCGCATGAGCAAGGATGTAGCGGTGACGTCAGAACGCCGAGTCTTGATTGGCTGATCGCGACCCCCTATCTGAGCGTCGTCTGCTCCTTTGCAACGCTGTCTGCTCGCAACGTCGTCTGCGTCTGTCTTTCCTTTCCTGCGACTTTCGGAAGTTCAGGAAAGGCGAAGTGGAGCGAGCTCGACTTCGCCTTTCAGGGAGGGCGGTCGAAATAACTCGAGCGGTAGGTTGTTTTTGTCTAACAACTACCAGACGCGCATCAAGGAGCGAAGTCAAAAGACTCACTGGCGAGGTGTCCCGAGGCGCCGAGGTTTGTTTACTAAGAACCGAGAGTGAGCGTGTTAGTGTCCCCAAGTTCCCTCCCAAATACTTTTTCCCTCCTTTCGTGTACGGCGAGACTCCTCACTCATTAACGGCCTTGGCGGGTTGGCCCAGTTAACGTCGTCTGCTTTACGTCTGCTGGTCAAAGCGATGGCTACTTTACCTTTCCAGCGTCTCTTGGAGATATACTGCTTTTTCACCGGCGAGAGTCACCGTTGCCTCGGAAAACAATTAGATGACAAGAGAAAGAGATTGACCTCTTAATCTAAATTTGAGGTCAGCGATCAAAGTGTAATACGGGAAGGGTTCTCAAGGGTCGCGCGGGCATATTCCATTCAGCACGCCAGCCGGTCGTGGGCAAACAGCCGCCGAGGCGGAGCGCCTGCTAGGGCTATCTGCCGAGCTCGGTTGGTCGGTGGAATCGTGGCCGTAGGAGCTTTTTCCGGCTGTTTGTAGATCCGGCGTTCTTGTTCGTCGGGGTCTGTTTGAAGTACTTTTTACTTTTTTCTTGCTGCTTGAAGTCGGGACGCGTGAGAAGCGCACGTAGAAAAATAAACGTCCGTTGGTCGTCGCGACCGCGACGCTTTCGGCCATGCTGATTTGATCGTAAGAAGTGCGTAAGACAGCTTCGGAGCTGTCGTAGGATTTTGTCGTAACCTGCGCAAAACTTACGAAAATTTAGTTTCGTGAATACGAATTTGTTCTCAAGTTTTGTCTCACGCATATTTTTGGCGTAATATCGTTTTGTGTGTCTGGCCTCTGGCCTCTGCACTTTCGAAAGCCGCAGGAAAGGTACGACAGACGCAGAGGACGTTGCGAGCAGACGACGTTGCTTTCGAAAGTCGCAGAAAAGGTAAGACAGACGCAGACGACGTTGCAAGGGAGCAGACGACGCTCAGGTAGGGGGTCGCGATCAGCCAATCAGGGCTCGGCGTTCTGACGTCACCGCTACCCCCTGCGCAAGAAGCAGGCGAACTTGCCCTCCGCATAGGTTAATTATGATAATGATCTAATAAGGTGATATAACTAAGGACTGGTGTCAAGTAGACTTCTCCCATTGAAGTACAAGCGAGAAAACTCACTAGAAAATTGGAACGTCTCGTCTCAATCGGATAAAATAACTTTTTTATTGCCATACTTCACTCACAAGGCAAGGCTTTGCGGACCCCTAGAATGCCTCTGTGGATCCCAAAGGGTCTGGTGACCCCCTTTGAGAACCGCTGGTCCGGTAATAGCCGCTAATAACTGCAAAATGTTGTATTTTCTTATGAAATGTAATCCACTCCTCTCTCTAATGCACGAGGCCCTTTAGGGTAAATAAATAAATAAATAAATATATTGTTTCACCCCGAAAAATAGCGTACGCACTGCCGAACGCTCTATCCCCACCCATGGTAGCGCTCGCTGTCCAGACCAGATGCAAAACTGTCATATAACTAAATGTTATCCTATTCAAACGTTATCCATATTCTTCTGAAACTTTCAATAGGACATTTGGTCCCGTTCTACGTAGTTTGTGCCATTCAGATTATCTATTCTCGGACTTATTTGGCCATCATTTTTCCACTAAATAATTTCCGAAATTCGCTTATTACTTTTGAATAAAATAATGGTTCGTTCTAAATCTTTGACACCTGGTTTTGCCCGCTAGCGCTACAATTGGGCTGAAATAACAGAGTCAACAATGCGTTTACTCCTTCTTTTTTCTTGAGTTAGAGAACGTTGCAAAATTTTTTCGATAACATTTCGTAGAATCACCCACTTACTGCCTGACATTGGGCGCCTGCTAGCCCTGCAGTGTTAAGGTCGCTATATGTTTGGCAGACGAGGTCATTTCCGGTGAACACCTTTGTAGCTAGAATTTTTTCACCAAAAGTAACAACCCTAGTACGCTTATAAGCAAATAAATGCAAAGGTGCAAAGAGCAACACAAGATTGACGAAAATGCGTTGGGACTCCCTATTGGAAACACGTACAAGAAACAAACCTGCCGCTTTTACAATTCTGGTATGACACCACCATAATTTCTTGGTATTATGTATGCAGCTAGTTTTATTTGGCGTTCTGCATAACTGGAGATACCGGCACCGCTATGGCTCCGGGTCTGTCTATACTGGCAGCCAGTTTGCTTGTCGATATGATTCCGTGTGGCTGGTATGATTTTGCGTCCGATGACATAGGCGACCGCTTTCTTTCCAACAAAACGCTTATACCACAGGACCACCGTTATAACTAAATCATACATGCAGAAAGACGACCGCCATCTTCCAACAAAAACGTCCATCGTTCACCACCGGTATCGTACATACACCATGTATGTCGAAAAAGAACATAAGCCGCGTTTACATTAATGCGACTTAGTCGCATTGAATCCAGTTGCCGCATTCAATATATGGTAATGTAAACGGCATAATGCGCAAAGCGCATCGCATTTTGGAACGGGAAGGATAATCGCAAGGCGCTCGCTGCGGGAGCGAGTGAACAGCTGAGAACATGGCGGCGGCCAACCTCGTCGGCGGCGCGGAGAGCGGTCCCGCAATTTTTTTTCCGAGAACGCAAGCTTTTATTGCGATCATAAGTAAGCGGAATATAGCGGAGCTGCTCGGTGAGGGCGGCCCCGTCCAAACCTTTGCGAAGTACGACTTGCGCGTCCGAAGGGGTCACAAAGGCTTCGGTGCAAGCACGAATGACACAGAGAGCTCCGAGCACTGTAGAGCACTGCATGGTAGCGCAGAACGAGCAGCTCCTACTTCGGTGCCGTTCCTGGCCGCGCAAGAGCCCCTCGGACTCGGGTTCCGGTTGGTCCGGTCGCGATCGGCGAGGTCTGGCGCGGCGAAACGGCGAGGTCTGGCGCGGCTCACTCTCGTTCAGAGTGAACCGGCGGCCCGGCCTGGAGTCCTAAACGCCTTGGTTTTGATAGTTCTTCCGTCTCGCAACTTCTTCCACAGCACCGAAGACAGCGGACACGATCTTTACTTTCACTGAATGCGTCGAAAGGCCTCCACGTGCGATGCACCGGAAAACATGGTGCGGCTGGCGCCGGAACGGAACTGCGGAACTTCAAGCTTTGAGTTAACGTGCACGGCAAGAAACCGATCGTAACACCAAGCCGCGGATACCGCATCGCCGGTCGACAGCGGCAAACGGCGCGTTGCTCGTACTCGGCAAACTCGGCGTCTTTTCGTGGCCCCTCGCGTCCTCGCAACCAGCCACAAACTCACCAGCCCGCAACCGTAGCGACCGTAGCCGGCGTTGGAGAAAACCGAAACCGAAACTTAAGGCTTCCGCCCAGTGGCTTCGGTGCTTCCGCTGCCGCGGCTTTTCTAATAGCATCTTCGATCAACTCGCACCGGAATCGCCCTGAAACCAGCACAGTGCACAGCGCTCCACGGTCGTGCAGCGCGATGTCGGTGCAACATCGAGGACAAACTGCGCCGCGCCGGTGCACCGCCGCGAGCTCCACCTTGCGTCACTTCGCGTTTTGTTCGTTTATTTTGCGTAGGTCAGCGCACGGTGCCCGTCTGCTGTCAATTTCTTCTATTTTTTTACTCGCGGATTTGACGGTCCCACAGAAATAAACATCGTGGACGTGATTGTCGATGGGGTCACGAAGCGGGTGACAATTCCACATGTATATGTTGGCCATCATTATTAGTTCAAGAAAACGAAACAGCAGATAATAGCCGTACCTCGCTGTCATCGAAACGCCTCGCGCCGCTTTCCACGAAGTTCGTGCTTTTCGGGCGCTCCTTCCCACCGCAGCAATCGCCAGTAATCGCGGCGATGGTGAGAAGCTCGTCGTCTCACCGTCAGAAGACCCGAGGAAATTCTCTAGTGCAGCTGCGAGGCGTGTTCGTTTTTGCAAGATCGCCATCTCGACAGTCTGCGCGTCTGCTAGTCCCGCCCGCCATCTTCTCGCCGCTCCTGGCCGCAATGCCTGATGGGACTGCCCCCCGGCGCACCGCCGATTTTCTTGGTGCGCGTTGGGGCAACGAAAAGCCGCACCGGGAGGGTGCGCTTCGTTGATACGAGGATGTACGGTGCGCACCGGTGCACTTGATCGAAGATGGAGGGGCGCACCTCAGTGCCCCGGTGCGCACCGGTGCGGATGATCGAGGATGCTATAAGTTCGCGGCTTCCACTTCCGGTCGTCGCGGAGATGGCGAACAATGGCGAAGATAGCGCGATGTGGTTCGTTGGCTCGTTTACGGTTACGGGACAGATGTTTTGCGGTCCGTTTCTACTGCGTCTCTGGTTCTAAACTCGACGGCGCCTCTCATAGTTCAACCAGGTGTGGTCGGCCTGGGTCAGCGCGGTCGGCTCGCCTCGTCCGATCTCCGGACCGCCGGCGACTTCCGAGTTCTTTAGGCCTGGGATCCGAAGGCGTCTGTCTCCGTGAAACGGTAAGCGAATCTCGTCCCGTTTTCGTTCTACTTTTAAATTACGTTTGGTGCGCTACAGTGTAAGCATGCGTGCCAAGTGTTCGTGACAATTTTGAACTAAAATAATTGTGCTTCATTGCGGTTTGTCATTTACCGCAAATGTAAATCGAGCAATGAACGAGGAGTAAATCGAGCAATGAACGAGGAGCCATGCTTGAAAACGATGTATGTACGATGTTTACTTCTACCTGTGCGGCTTTAAAGAAAGTCAAGACTGGTTACGGTTGGATGCGAGGCTGGTCCCAATGCAATGTTAAGCACTTAGAGCGCCTATCTGAACGGCATGTAAGCAATATAGCGATCAACGAGACGAGCGACGGCGAGAAGCTACGAGTGCCGGCGCCGAGCGACGAAGATTTCTCACTCCCGCTGCTTGCGCCGCTCGGTTCTTGGGCTTCTAGAAAACGTCGCTCATCGCCTTGGTCGCTCGCACCAATCGCTTTCATAATGTGTGTATCGTCGCGCGGCCGTGTTTATTCGAATATAGGTCGACCTTTTTTTTTTTCTTTTTTTTTTTTTTCGGAAATTGTGACTAAAGAATTTGGACACCTGCATTCGCGACCAAATTTTGCAACCCTACCGGAGGCATGAAGCTATCGAGTCACCGAGCCGGCGTTGCCGTAGAGCCGCGCCGCTTCTTGTTTCAAAAAGCTTTTGGTAACCGAAATGGCTCGCCGCCCGCGGTGGCCCGTGCCGCTCCTCGGGCGTCGGATTTCGACATAGCGCCTCTAGCGTTCCCCTTGCTGGGCAACGGGGAAGGAGAGGAACGCGATGCGCCACGCACTTTACCCTCCATCCTTGCAAACGCGCACAAAAAAGAAAAAGTTACTTTTGTTAGTTGCTTGAGGCGGCTCGGCTCGCGTGTTGCTCATGGCGACACGGCGGCTTTGCTTGCGTCTTTTTAGTTTGTCTTCCGTCGCTTCGCACCTTCTTTCGTTTCCTGTCGTCATTTTACAACGGTGTCAGTGAAGTATTGCTGCGAATATGCGAGGATGTCTACCCAGCTGAAGAAGCTTCGGACGACGATGACATGTCCAGAAGTTCTGACGGTGATGAAGTTTTTGGCATCGCCCCGTGATTTAGCTGAGAGTGATGTAAATAAAGGGTTGTTTCTTTTGCCCAAAAATTCCCCTGTTCTTAAAAATAAAAAAAAAGTCGACCTATATTTGAATTATTTTTTTTTTATTCTCTATGGACCCAGTAAATAGGGTTCGACCTATTTTCGAGTAAATTCGGTAACTTTAATTTTTATTTTGGTTTACGTCGGACGCAACTCGAATGCTTGACAGTTACGTTGGGCGTAACTTTAATTTTTATTTCGGGTTCTGTCGGACGTAACGTTAGACACTCCGTTACACTTAAGGAAAATAGGGGCTGCTGGTTCATCATATAAACCAACCATTTGTGTTTAATTAAAATGCATCACTGACCTAAAAAAAAAAGATACTGCTATCCTAGAGTTTATGCTATAGGAATATAGCGCTTCAGATAATTTTGTTAATTTTTACTTTTAGTCCCTGCCCCCTCCAGATACCACATCTGGCCTAAAGCGGTGTTCCGGATCTCCTTCCAAGACCTCAGGCGGGTCGTCATTCAATCCATGAGTCGGCGGCGTCTCATGGGCGTGTTGCTGTTGCTTACTGGATGGTGCTACCGAGGGAAAAGTGGTCATGCTTGGGAAAGGCAAGTATGGCCGCCGTAAGTATACATATTGTCTTTACCTTTGCTCGAATCCACTTTTAAGAAATGCACAGTTCGCATGTGTGCATCTCTCAATGTTTCCACAGTCTGCTGTTTTTTTTTTGGAGTGCTCCAACTGTGTCAGCGCTAGTTTCTCTAGATCATGCAAATGGGATGCAACAATAAACCACATATGCTCTCGCAACAAACAGTGCTGTGCCGAAGCACTGTGGAATTTACTCTAGCTTTATGATGCAGCACAAAATAGTTGACTCCAAGCACAGCTACTTTTGTGACTCCGTTTAACCAAAAGCTCTGCCGAAACAAACTTGCCGCCTTATAGGTAGTGCAAAAGAACCTCGCGTGCCTAACCTGGAGAAGGGCATTTTTTTTATAGGTCAATTTTTTCTTAAACCAATACCTTCAGCCTTCTTGAAATGTTAACATCATGTGACACACGGAAGAACAGTAAACTCTTTAATGTTGGCGAACCTTTAATTTTCGCGGCCTTTAATTTTGCAGAATTCAGTGGCTGCGAATATGTGCTCTGTGACCGATTCGAGAAGAAATAGGGGCCACGAAGATAAGGGGGTTTTACTGTACATCGGAGGAAAGAGGAAGTCACTTTTGTTTGTATGCAAGAGTAAAACCAACAACAACAATCATGGTGTCGACACTTTGTGAGCCTATCTATGTCTATTGAATGATATCAATTTTGTTTTAGTTCGTTAAACATTGTTGCCTGTACACTGTGGGATGTCGTCTTCAACACGAGCAGTGGTTTTCCCTGAAGCAGGCAGCATGGACGCGTGCCGCAGCGCAACATAGTTCATTTGC